GAGGGGAAGAAGGGCCCGGAAAGAAGGGACAGCCTCTTGCCGAACTTGACGCGCCGGGCGCCTCCCCCCGCCCCGACAGCGGGAGGGGCCGTGGGGCTGCGGGCGGGCGCGGGGCTGTGGGGAGCGGGAGCGGAGCGGGCCAGGAATGGCGGTGACTGCCCCCCGCCAGATCGAGGCGCGCCAACAGGTCGAGGCGCGCCACCCGCAGAGGTGCGCGCCGCCGCCGCCGCCGCTGGGGCCATCGAGGCCGAGCGGGCTGCGGCTGCGGCTGCGGCTCCAGCCTGCCCCGCGCCTCGCCTCGCCTCGCGGCGGCCCGCGAGCCGGCCCGGCCGCGGGCGCCTCGAGGGGGCGCACGTCGTGAGCGGCTGCGCGGCGGCCGACGCCGCCAAGCTCGTCGACCTCATCAGCGACCTCGAGCTCGATTGCGGCGGGGCCCGCGGGGCGGGCTACCAGCGCGCGGCCCTGGCGCCGCTGAACCTGACGGCGTTGTCGTCGCGAGCCATCACGCCGCAGCGTTTGCGCCTTCCGCAGCCGCACCAACTGCTGCCACCGCCCCGGCTGCCGCCGCCTCGCCGCAAACTTCGCTAGCGAGCATAGGGTCAGCTGGCAGGCCCGCTGCCGCGCTGGGATCTCTGCACCCGGCCATTCCAACGGCCAGGCCGCTTAGCTGATTGGCTAGACTAGCGGCATACCTCCATCTTGACACAGTCTGGGAACGCGCGAGAGGGATTTTTGAGATATGAGAAGATTCCGCGCTCCCGCCTTACAGTAAAAAGAAATTTCGTGTCGCCACCCGAACCTCACCTGCGCGCGCTCGCGGCGCGATCTCGTAAGGCCGCGAACAAACACAGTTATCAAACACACTTCTGCCCGCGCAATCAATTTCTCGCGCTCTGTGTGCCGTCTGCCGAGTGTCTCAGCAACTCAGGTGCTTGGTTTGGGTCCCAAAAGCCAAATCAGCCAAATCGGCAAAATAGTAAATACCGGTGTATTTTGCGGATATGTATGTAACTGTAGAAAGATTTAGGTTTGGGGCAGAGCGAGTGGGAGAACTTTTCGGCGGTCGTGGAGGTCGTGGAGGTCGTGTGGAGTGGCGAGTCACGCTCGTGCGGACAGCATCGACACCTGGAAATACATAGCTGGAAAATACCCGCGTAGTTTGCCGGTTTCCTCGGTTTCGCCTCAGATTTTGCTCCAAACCAGCTCTCAGGGAAACTCGAGAGAGAGTTGCCAGAATGGGGAGCAGAATGGAGCACCAAACACCCTCTGGTTTCCCTGGAAACTTCCGGAAACTCAAAGTGCTGGCTGGGGGGACCCTCTGGTCTCCACAACTCCATCGAGCATCGTGCGTCCCGTTGATTGAGATGGCGAAACTGCGCAGTGCGAGATGGTCTAAGTTTGGGATCGCTGGGGGCACCCATTAATTCATTCCCTGCCCACGGCGAGATTGCCGAGATGTGCCATTTCCCCGAGGTTTTCATAAGAGGGGGGTCACACGTCGAACTTTTCCTAATAGCAGCTTCCAACCAGGCCATTTTACCCGCTGCTTCCCACAGGCGAGAAACTGAACGCGAGCGCGCAGCGGTCAGTTACGGGCCCGGCAGCAATGACTGCGCGTGGCATGCAGGCTCCGGGCACGGTCGTCGCGGACGCCGATCAGGCCGGCGAGGCGCAGCGGCCGCAGGTGGAGCCGCAGCCGCAGCGCAAGCAGCGCCGCCGCCGCATGTCGCACAACCTGCAATTCAAGCTCAAGCTAGTGAAGCTAGCCCTGGCTAGGCCTCAGGGCCATCGCATCAAGCCAGTCTGCCGCGAGTTCCCAGAAGTGGAGCCGGTGCCCGACACCGCCCCCGCCCCGCACTTGCCCACTTGCCCCCTCCGCGCTTCCCAAGTGGCTAATGTGTACGAGCCCTCCAATAGGTTCAGCTGCGTAAATGGATTCGAGCGCTCGAGGAGCAGGCGCGGCAGTCGATGGGGGAGTGCGACAAGACGATCCCTGCGGCATCAGCGGTGCCGATCGCGCAGCCCGTGCCGTGTGTGCCAGTCGCGGTGCCTGCCGCTCTCCGGCATTACTATCCGCCCGCACATCTGCTCTATGGCATGATGCCCCTGCCGGTGCTTTCACCGACGCCCACATTCACTGGCGCAGCAACCCTCGCGGGGCACCCCTTCGTCGGCCCCATCTTCGCCGCCCCTCCCTGTGCCGCGCCTGCCATCGCCGCCAATGTTGTTGGGGCTGCCGCCGCTCTCTTTCCTGCGTTGCCGTCCCCAGCGAAGCCGCAGCCCCTCGCTGGCACGCGGGCCTCCCTACCCTCCTCCCCTGCCCGCACTCGCAAAAGTTCCCCGCCCCATCCCCAACCGGCCGCAGCGAACGATGGTTTTTCAGCTGATTTAATCCCTCCCCTGTCCTCTCGACTGCTTCCACTCTTTACATACATAAACACCTCCGGTGCTTTCCTGGCCGCTTCTCCGGGCCCGCCGAGCGGCAAATGAAAACGTTACTTTGCCGAAAGCGGGGCGTGAACATAACGACTTTTATTTACTGCGATGGCAGAGACGGCCGAGCCTCACCTCTACTCTATTACAGCTGGTGGTCACGGGCACAGCATGGATGGGTTGTGCGGTCGGAGGTGGTGCTTGCAGTGGCGCATTCAAGACAACTGTGCTGTGCCTGTGCTCACAGTCGGAAGATCTTGCTCTGGAGGGCTGCATCACTGAGCCTGCCTTTGGGTCATGAGGGCAGGCAGGGGCCAGGCATCTCCTTCCTGTGGTGCATTCTTGGCAGCCAAGGAGCAAAGCACGCGGCCCTGGCTAGCTGTGGTGTAGCTGGGAAGCCATGCTAAAGATGCGGGACCCACACTAAATGTACTGCAGCTGCCCGCACCTAAAGTAAATAAATAAAAACGGACACCTCTACTGTGAGATGGGTAAAAAGGAACAGGTCCCCGCCCTTGCGATCTTTGTGCAGGGTTCTTTGTGGGTGTGGTCGGCGACTAGCCGGGGTCGTCCTCCCGATGGGGGACTAGCACTAGCCGTCTTCCACATGCACATCTCATGGTCCCTCGCGCCTCGGGTCCCTGCTGCTCCTAATGCTAATCTCTTCGTACATCCTCCTGCTGATCTCCGCAAAGTCCTGCTCCCTCCCTCTCGTCTCGCCCTGCGCGTCTGCTCCGCCTCCCCGTCGTCTACCCTGCGTCGTCTGGCGACGGGTCCTCCATAGTAGAGGTCGCCGCCCTCCTCGTGCCTCTTCCCAACGCTCCCTCGGCGGCCGATGCCGTCTGCTCCGACTCCCCCGTCCCCGGATCTGCCCTGCTCTCGGCTGCGCACCTAAAGTGAACTAAATGTGGCGCTAATTGGAGATAAAACACCCTAAATATGTGCTAAATACCGGCTTTATGTATACTAAGTTTGCGCTAAAGTCGCGCTACGGCTCTATATACGCACTGCTCGAACACACACTAAATAGGTAATAGCGCACTAAATTACGGACTAAACTATCACTAAAGCTCATTCACACGCACTAAACTTAGACCCAAGCGCCCTTCGTCCTTCGATAATATCTCGTGTGTCTCGCGCGGGTGTGTGTGGTGACTGGTGTGTCGAGCTCGATCGAGCACTCGAGACACGAGAGCACACGTCTCCCTCTTGCGGAGTTGGGGTTTTATAGGAGATTGTACGCCACACAGCTCAGATATAGAGACAGGCACAGGGGAGACGGCGAGACGGGCGGAGATACTCGCACTACGGCGTACTCGGTTCGTACTGCGGCTCTCTGACTACATGGCTATTACGCGCGGTCCGCCTCACTGCTCACATGGCGACTTTCACATGAAATTGCATGCCTCGCCGAGTTGGGGGCTGGGCAGGTGACGGGCGACAATTTTGCGCCGCCGGCATCGAACCCTCCCTGCCTACCCCAGCGACGTTGCCGACGCTCTGGATATCTGGAGCGAGTCGGCTACAGGCCGAAGCCCGGCACAATTTTGGTGCGGCTCATTCATGGTTGACGGGCGCGGGCGCATGTGGCCCTCGGCGCCCGCGCCCGAAAGCACGGCTCACTTCATCGGCGTCATTTGGGGGCCTTGAGGTTGGAGATGTCGCCCATCGCCTCAGCTGCGGCCTCGAGCTTGGCCGCCTCCGCCTCGAGCTTGGCTGCCTCCGCCTCGAGGGCCATCGCCTTGAGCTCCGCGTCTGAAGGCGCAGCGGCCGCCTCCTCCTCCTCCGCGGCTGGCTCCGCCTGTGCCTCAGCCACCTCCTCGACAGCGTCGGCCGCCGCCGCCGCCTCGCCAACCGCCGCGTCCTCGCCCTCGTCCTCCTCCCTCGCGGCCGCAACAGCTGCCGCTTCTGTTGGTGCGGCGGCGGTGACAGCGGCAAACGGCTCTGCGCCTTGCTCCGACCTCGCCGGTGGTGGTGCCGGTGCCGTCAACCCGCCGTCTGAGCCCTCCCCCCCTCCTCCGAGAAGCTCCTCGTACAGCTGCGCCGCCTCGTCCACACCCTGCTCCTCTCCTCCCGACACGGCTTTGAAGCCTGCAAAACCGGCGGCGGCGACGACCGCGGCGCCGGCTGCGATTGGAGCAACCCGAGCCGCGACTGCAGCAGCCTCTGCCACGGCGTCGCCGCCACCAGACTCGGCCGGCGGCTGCGCGGGCTTGGTGGCGGGCGCGAGTGCGCCGAAGAGCTGCAGAGTGGACGGCGCCTCTGCGGACTCGGGCGGGGCGGCGGCTTTCGGCGGCGCGACCGCCACGGGCGCGGCTGCCGGGGCGCTGTCG